CCTTCGATAGTCAAGAGACAAAGCCTAGAAAGTGATAGTTGTTTGAGTTCTTGCCGCCTATAAAAAGTGAAGGTTGTTTTAGAAAAAATAGATGGAAATTTAGAGATCTGAATTGAACCAGGAAACTTGAAAAATTCATATAAAACAGAAGCTAACACATCACCTAATTAAAAACCTTATCTTAGTGGTTTCCTACGCACATTTTTGTCTTCAGAATTGCCGGTTAAATTGGGTGGCAACAGAAACAAAGTTCTTTTCTAATTGAAAAAAAAAGCGTTAGCTGTGGCTGTAGTTGGGAGACCGAATGAAGGCAAACTTGTCAACAACTAAACTGAACATGTTAAACATGTCTGAAAAGTTATGCTGCACATCGACGCCAATCTGATTTTTGACGCGTCCTTTAAATTTTTACCCCCGCATGGTCGTTTCGTAACCTGCGACGTTATCTGGATTCTTCCGCTCATCATTCTGAGCAAGTAACGTCCAAGCTGGAGAAAATTCGTTGCAAAAGCATTGAAAAAGAACAAGGTAAAGAAAAACGCACTTTTTGGTAATTTTCACAAAAAAAACCGGAGTAAGCAAAGAAGTAAGCTCGGCGACGTTGTCTACATTATAGACAGAAACAAGACCTATCGAATACACAAAAAACGAGTGAAAAGAGTTGAACTGAAGAAAAAACAAGAGGTTTTCGACTCCGTTTTTCCTATATTTCTGGTTTAAATCATAAAAAGGAGTCTTGCGACGTTGTCAGCGTGAAAATAGAGATCAAGAGCTTTAATGATATATAGATTGTCGAAATTGGGCTCCCAAAAACGAAGAAAAGGGTACCAGAGCCAAATGCCCCGCGCCCCGCTTATGGGGTAGCGAGGTAGCGCGCAAGTCGCGGAGACGCAGACGAGCAGCGGAGACAGACCAGAGCCGGCGGGGCATTTAGCTCTGGTCATTGATCTCCGCGGGATCATAACGAAACCCTGTAAGATTATATATCGCTGTGATCCTCATGAGACGTCCAGGAGCACTGACAACGTCGCGGATCTTGAAAATCACTCCATAACGAGATAGACCAGCATTTAAGTAGCGACTCTCTGCGCAAGATTTGCGCGCAGTTTCTCGTTTCTATTGAACTCCAGCGGCTTTCATGAACTTCCAACGCTCAATCGAAGTCTAGAGAAAGATTAATTGAGAATTTTTGTTCCAGTTCCTCATTGAATTTTTAATAAAAGTCTTTTTGGCAAAAAAGGGCCATAAAAACGTAATCCTTCGGTTTTTTGAGCTTCTTTTGGATGTCGCTACTATATTTACCTCGCTCACATCTCTCCCTCTATGGATATGTCATTAGTTATGCCATGATATCCGGGGCTTCGCCCCGGATGACTTCCCTCTAAGTGAAGTTTGTGTTCTATCATGACGCTCAAAGTGAAGGTCACCAGAGTACGTGGCTCTATGTATCGAAGGTATGCTACCGACCCAGATAGTAACTGCCAATTCTGTAAGTTGTCTTTCTTCTTTTACCCATCCTTCTCAAATGATGTTTGCTTTGGAATGTTTACCAATTCCCAGAATTCTGGAATACAGCATGCCTACGAGCGCATCAAATGAATGAATAAATAAGTAGCAAATAATGAATGATCAGTTTTTATCCAGACATTGACCTTAAAGGCAGTGTTCAGGCAGATCTGGGCATATGGGTTTTTTGCCTAGCAACTGAAGAGGAGGTTCTAGCTAATGCCCAAACCGCAGCGCAAATGATTTATTTACGAATCTGAGAAATCCGTCCCCAAACACTCCATAGCTGCGCCGTGACCGTAACACTAGCATGGGTACCAGCACGAACGTAGTGTAAAAGTGAACGAAGTCGCTTTTGAGCTACGATCACGGTGCGGGCGCGGACTTTCAGGGACGGATTTCTCGGCCGTGAATGAACAATTCGCGCTGCTCCTGGACAGTGCCTTAGTTGGGACCTCCTCATTAACTTCCAGGCAAAAAACCCATGCGCTCAGATTTGCCTGGAAACTGCCATTAAGGGAGAAGAAAAAAATCTAGGAAGGGTACGCTTACTCAGAAAAAGAGATTTTTTCAAAGAGAAAAATGTTGTGCACGTTTTTCACAAGGCACGATAAGTAGAAGAAATTTTGTGAGCACTTTGACTCGAAAACTCGAGAAGCAAAACAAGGTGGCGCGTAGTGGATATGGATATATTATACAAATCATGGCTGTACGCTAAGTTGTTTCAAAAGCTCTGTTTGTAAGTGGCCTTTTTTAGCGCAGCTGCTTTCTTAGAGCCTTGCACTTGCAGTGTTATGAACACATTGGAAGCAGTTTTCTTGCTCTTTTTGATCCTTCCTTATTTTGGTAAAACAACTTCCCACTGATGAAAACCCGGAAGACAAGTTGTTGCTGGCATGCTGAAAGGCACCTTCCTTCCAAAAAATTGACCTCCATTTTATGCCGTTGCAGGGCCTCTTCATATCCTTGATTCCGAGTATCAAGTCGGAAATCCGCGAAAACCACGAAAAACCCCGGTTTTCAGAACCCGCAGACCGATTTCTTCGGAACGGTGATTGGATGAGCGCGCACGGATGGGCGGGACGAACGTCACGCCCACTTAAAGGTGAGGAGAGGAGCCAACGCGGCGAATCCGTTATCCGAGCGATTCGAACCAATTTTCTCGCTTCGGAAGCAACTTTTTGCCAGCGCGAGTTGGATAAGTATAGGGCCCCACTGCTGTTAGGCATCAAAATCTCATCGATCCCGTTTTGGGTGGACGGTGCCTTTTGAAAAGTCTTTATAAAGTGACTCTGCAGTGTTCGTAAAGTTACCTATATAATAATTTATATTGAGTGATGGTCAAAATGAGCTACCACACGCTTTCACCACGTAAGAAATGTCTGACTTTTCAATTTTTTAAATATAGAATCCCTCATTTATTCTACAAGAAACAATTTCCATATAGCGACAATGGTGTATTCAATCGCATGTGTTTGAGTAAGGCGAGAGCAAGCAGGAACCACCAGCCACTCGTCTGCGACAGCAAGAAAAATCCTATTGAGAAGTTGGCATACTTACAGAGTGCGCGAAGGAGTGCTCATGTAATGGCTTTCTGACATGCTCATAAAGATTTCTAAGCAGCTTAGACAACTTGAATTATTTTCAGCCATGAAATTTCTCTAAAGTGAACAATGATGGCACAAATATGTCTGCCTATCACTTTATGGGAGCACTAGTATGACAAAATAGACGGTCTTAGAGGAGGCCTTGATGTTTCAATCTTTGCTTTTCTCTCAGTTCCCGACTTTTTAAGGCTTATAATAACCATAAACTCAGTTAATAGTTAAATTTGAAGAAAGTTGTAGCATTTTGAATCAGAAAGCAGATCGGACTGAACTCTTGGAACACCCTATTTAGTGCAAACGATGAGTCCTCTGTAAAGCATAGGAGTGAAGAAGCAACACGGTAGAAGAAGAGTGGAGGAAGCAGCCAAAAAATTGTTCGCACTTTCACCAAAATTTTGGAAACCTTCAAATAAAGCGAGATTTGTGACTCTCTTAAATCATTGAAAGGTGGGATGACGCTGAAACTTGTGGCATGAGCTTCTTATCCTCAAAAATCTATAAGGGCTTTGAGTTCCTTCTCGTTTTGTATAGGTAAATGGTTGCTTGTTGATCTTGCTTAACACGCAGTCTCAACAGTCACATGTGCCGATTAGTCAGAAACGCTACGGCAAGGGTCACAGCACATGCTATCGAATTGCTTAGTGCCTTTACTTGCCAACACTGACAAATGAAAACGGCATACTTAGCGCAGCGTCTGTGAGTATGAGTGTTTGCGTTCATTGCACTGCTGTCGCGTGGGACAGCAGTCTACAAAACGCAACGCTTATGCTATAATATATTAGATTGTAAAGAAAGTTCCCGGGCACTTGCGAAAATTTTTTTCAAATCGCTGTAACTTTGAGCAGACTGATTCTTTTTTGAATCTACAAACTTGATTGTAAAGCCGGGAACATTGTTGAGGTAATACCTTGCACATTTTTTAGACCCATCATCCAGGCGTGGCGATCCCCACAGAAGCGACGCCTGCTGCGAAAAGAGTTGCAGTCAGAGGCAAGTTCGACAGCTTGTAATTTCTGAGCGCAAATCGCAAAACTTGAGTACACCAGCGGGTCAGAAGTTAACAGGCTTCTCAATCAAATCACCCATGATTTGGACGAAATTCCTTATAGTGCACTAAAAAATCGCCGTTGGAAGAAAAACTGTGAAATTTTTGTGGTTGGAAAGATTTCTCTTCTTGACGTTCACATCAAACACGTTTTGGCATCGATAAAAGTCAGAAGGCTTGTGGAATACTTCAGGCTTCCCTCTACTGAACAGTTCAAGAAAACTTGGTGTCAAAGTCCGACCGAGTGCCAAACAAATGCCAAAGTTCCAAGGCACTTTTAAAAATAAAATTTCCAAAAGTGCCCGGGATCTTTCTTTACAACCTAATAATACATTCATATTTTGTTCACAGCTGATCAAGACCATTTCTTTATGTCGTTACAAATCTGCGAGGATTACCACGACTGAAATATCTAGAGCATAAGCGGATTGCCTACAATTTTGCGGCTTGAAAGGTTAGGTGCATGTTGTCAGCAGTACTGCATCACACCTCACTAATCAACTATTTTACAAGCTGTTTGTAGCAATTAAAGGGTGAACTGTATAGAGCTAGCGTTTATGATGGCGTTGATCTATAAAAGTGCCTCATAAAAGACAATTGTTTTGTACGTGTGTTTATGGTTTTTGCTTACCCCAACTTCAATTAAGTAGCAAATTTTGCAAGTTTTGTCCATGTTTAATTTTTAATAACACATATATACATTTTTCATTGAGGTCTAGACTTTGGCAACTTTGGCATTAGATTACACTAGCTTGTAACGCGATACTCGACGGTCAAACAAACCTTTTCGCTCTCTATCAAAAACGCGTATTACGTCCTCTAATGTTATCGGCGGGCCGAGAATGTTGTTGAGGAACTCCATCGCTTGCGTTGTACTACTAATTATACTACAACTTACAACATCGGAGGAGATAATAGGTAAGCCATTGAACGTACCGATAATTTTCTTACGAAATGTGGCTGCTTTTAGCTTACATAGCCGAACATGATGATGATGAGGGCATAAGCATTTATCGACATCTGAAAGTACTGCAAAAGTACCGTTCCCAGGCCTTCGGACTGCATAATATCACTCTGGAGCACACTGCCATTACGAATGAAACATCTCCAAAGGAGCGTGAGCAATCTGTTCTTTTGGAGCATCGTTGAAGTGTTAGGACTTTATGATAGAGGACCTTTTCCCCTTTTCTTTTCTGGTTTCCAGACATACTATACTCGTACGAATAAGAAATTTCACACCATGCCTAGATAGAAAGCTTAAAAATCGCTATTATCTAGCCAGAAGACGCGAAACTTGTTTCAGATGAACTCTTGAGTTATTTTAGTTTATGGCTTGCTCAGTAATGTCAGCTTCCTGATCAGTGCATGCAAAACTGGAAAAGGTCAGCAACTAGTAATGAACTTTTCACAGTATTCTGGCATACCAACTGTGCACATTGTGAGAAGCAGCTGGAATTCGCTAAAAATGGCAACTGGTTAGTTTGAACTTTTTCCTTTGCTATTGCTGCTTTGCAGAACTGGGAAATGCTGAGAAGGAAGTGCTTAGAAATCGAAATAGGCTTTATTCTTGAGTCACCGTTTTGACTCCAAGTGTTAAGTTCGAATATACTTTTCTGATCCGCCAAGCGATTCGTCGAGAGATGTAGCAATCCTTTCATCAATTTGGTTTCAGGTGGTGAGGTCGAACTGTAATAGAAAAGTACCTTTTGAGCCTCGTCAGCGAAAATTTTCTTCTACAAGGCAAATTAAAAAAGTGCAGGAGAACTCCGAGCCAGTTGCATATTTCTTGAACAATTTTATTTATGAAAAGCAAACTGAAGCATGCAAACTGAATCTAACAAGGGAAGGAAAGTAACTAAGATTCGCCTTTTGAGATGGGACATACATATTCGGAATCAGCTTGGAACGCTCATTCCAAATATGCCGTTCTTAGCTGCTTAGCTTTAATCTAAAGCGAGTTATAGTTCCTTTTCTATGCAAAGTTTGCGTGCTCCTCGAGATGCCTACGATGTCGACGTGTAGGTGGTTTGGCAATTGTATAATGCGCGCTTTCAATATCGAAAGAATTAATCTGATGCTGGTCCAACATCCTAGCACTTTTTTCGAGCAGATTCTTATCTACACACCGTCTTACGACATTCAGAAGTTTGTTAGTTACTCACAACAGCAAGCCCATAACTCGCTTCGGAATAAAGCTGAGCAGCCAGGAATAACATGTTTGGAATTAGCGTTCAAAGCTGATTCCAAATATACTATGTGTCCCATCTCGAAGCAAATCTAAATTGATCTTTCCCTTGTAAGTAAGCGCTTATCACTTTTGAGGAGAAATGTTTAGCATATATGGAGGGCTTGGAAACAGCACTTGAGAACAACGTAGTAATTTGTATATTATTCAAAATAGCCAATTGAACTTCTAATCATTTGAGTAAGAGGCGGTAAATATCTCGATTGAGATAAACGTAGCTTGATCTCAGCGCGCCTTCACACCGCGCCGGCAGCCGCCGCTAGCCGCCTGTAGCCGCTTTAGCGCACTATCCAAGTATTCCAAGGCCTTTCCAAAACGTAGAAAGATAATTTATGTAATCAGCATGTTGTGAACAATGCCATCAAACCAAGTTTGAGCGACATTCATGGTCTCAATCCTGGGGTGCGGATACTGTGATGGTGCACAAAAGCGGCTAGCGGCGGCTGTCGGCGAGGGAAGGCACCCTCAGCCTTATCCGAAACTTGTAATCTGATATCAGCTTAACGAAGGTGAGACAAAATGTCTTTGTCGTAGCCTGCGGTCAATCTGCGCTATTCCATCAAAAACTCACAGCCAAGCTTTTCAACTTGCACAATTGCCGGACGCCTTGCACACATCCTCTAATCCAATGCGAATGATGGCTTTCAATAGGTGCAGATCAAAGTTTTGATCTAGATAGGGAGAGAACAGTCGAACAACCCTTCACGCTTGAAGCTTTGCAAACATGTCACACGTAAGATTTCAATTGCAAGCGAAAAAAGGTGTCAACTGCTTTTCCTTAGGCTGGGTTCATGCTGATCCCGAAATTCAGGAACGGTTTTAGCACAGTTCTCGCACTGTGCTAAGATTATGCCGGAATTGTGCTGCATGCGCTTTGAAGCGCGGGAAGTAAAGATCTTCAAAAGATTTTAAGCGTTTTCGGTGAATTTCACTCATTTTGGCTTCATTCTTCCACACCGTTTCTACTTATAACGAGGTAGGTCTCAAAATTGAAAAAGGATTGAAGAATGAATAGTTTTTAGCTCCATATATCCGTAAAAAAATGTGCCTTCCTGCTCTCTCTCGTTCTTCCTCTGTTGTTATAGTAAAATCCATATGTTCACCCGCAACCCACAAGACGGAGGTTGAGCGAAAATAAAGAAAAAATGTGCCTACGAAGACATATCTTCCCCGTATAGATTGAGAGAAGTAATGTTCCATCATCGCTTCACATTTTCAGCTTTTCTTGTCATGAGCGGAAACCGGGAGGAAGTACAGGGAAGCATGACTTGATAAAAGGGAAAGGAACTAGAGAGCTCAAAATCTAATTTCACCAGATAACAATAAAATTCTGTAGCTTCTGCACATTTTTTTAGTGTTGATGCCCTATATTAAAAGGTGGCTACGAGTAGTACGCAGATTTTCCTGGAATACAAAAGTGGTATCAGACAAAAATCGCGGAGGGAGAACGATGGAGCGCACAAAGGCACGTCTTCAAGAATACATGGACGCACATCTTTCACCCGCTTCGAAATGGTAGCTTTTATCATGATAAGAAAAAGCAAGGTAGAAAAAGCAGAACGGGCAGTAATATGGAAAAAGAAGTGGAGAGAAACGCTCAAAAATGAGAGCCCATTGAAAAACTACAGAAATCTTTTACATTATCACAGATTTATGTTCCATCAGTGCCCTGTTACAAGACAGACGGGTGTTAGGTTCAGGCAGCGTCTTCCTGAAGTACAACAAAAGTGTTTAACAAAAGCCAGAGAAACAAAGAAGAGCACGAAGGCACATGTTTTAGAGCTAAATTCTATTCTTCTTCAATTTTGCTTCAAGTTCAAGGCTTGTCTCATTACGAGGAAAAGCCGGGTGGAAGAATGACGTTAAACGAGTGAAATTTACAATAACAACGCTAAAAATCTTCCAAAAATCTTCATCTTCCTCCGCTTGAAAGCACAAAGCACTATTCCGGCAAAGTCCAGCAAGTGCGAGTAGTACTGTGTAGAACTGTTTCGAAACATCTGGATCAGAATGAACCCAGTCTTATGTTAGTTACTGATTTGCTATAATACCCTGGATGTTTGATTAGCCGCCCAGACTCACTCAGGAGTAGGTATGTAACGTGAAAGTGATTATGACCATTTTCGAGAAAGGGGTAAGAGGAAGGGAATTGTTTGTGTAACTTACGTTCCCTGGAAAAGGCGTTCGGCTTGAACGTAAACGGTCACTTGTTTAAATGAAGCTATGTAAAAATCTGGGTAAGGCTTAATCAAGGGACAGAGTTGCTCACAATTAAGCTGGTGACATTGCAGATACAGCTTCCAACGATCAGATTTTTTTGATACCTGCGGTTACTGTATTCAACAACGTTATTCTGGATATTCTCCCAAGTCTTAACTTATCGACCAACACGAGCATCTTGTTCGAACATGCGTACGGTGTGTATCTACTGCCGCTTACTTTTTATTGAAAAAATCTTGCAGGGAACATGGAGAACATAAGAGAAACCTTTGGCATGTTGCCGATCCACACAAATTTTGTCGAAATTCAGAGTAACCCGAGAAAACTTCAAGAGCTACTCAAAAATGTCACTACGCTTGGAAGAGTTATAATCATCGCTAGGACAACTACTGCAGTTATGATAGCAAGAGAGGTTTAAAACTTGTCACTATTAGTCTCTAGTACTTTCATAGCAATGAAGCAGACGAACCACATTACAGGGTGTAGGCATAGCAAATTTGGATGTCGAGAGCTTATAGTAGAGATTTATCACTTTATAAGTAGCAAAGTTCTGCAATGTCTTGTGCTCTTACTCTGTTACTGGGGACGAAACTCCTCATCTCTTTTGCGCTAAAATAACGAGTGGCGAATTTCACATACTTTCCACTTTCTAAGACTTTTGTGTTAAAATAGGTAGATTGGAAGCGGGAAAGAAATGCTCTGTTTAGTGCTTCAAAGGGGAGACACTTTGTGAGGAATTTTCTCACTTTTGACCTTTCATATCGCGTAACTGTATAATAGCATTCTACTCCACATTTGATCTCTTTTGCTGCAATCACTTAGCCTCACCTTGCTGTTTATGACTATAGTAAAAACAAAAAGACTGTTTTGTCTTCACTATTTTTCTGTGTCCAGAGAACTCTTGCGCGTCACGGAGCGAAATTGCGAGTTGGTTGATTTGCGGAATATTTTCTTTAGAAGAGCTAGCTAAAAGTGCATTCTCTCAAACGTGATTAGTCGTATCAGGAAGACTCTGCAATCAACTTGAACAAATAGAAAATGGAGCAATCACGGAGTTGAATGGTTTGATGTTTTTCGTGACGACACAGCGTTCCGCTGACTAGTCTTACCTGAAATCTTTCAGATTTCATACAGTGAAAACAGACACAGTGTAAGAAAAAGTTTCATCTGCACTTAAATAGTGCCTGATGCTGTTAGTCAGCGAGACTTGCGAGAATCTTCATTGCATTTGTAATTCAATGGGAGGGGGAAGAACTATTCGGGCTCATGTCTTTTCCTCCTTGAACTTTCCAAAATTTATTAGATTGTTTTGAAAGTAATTTCGCTTTTTCCAAACAAGCGTGACATCTTGCAGAATAATCGTCAATACCTTTGGCCGCATTCAATGCAGCCTTTCACCCTCTCTCAAACGTGGTTTTCTCATTATAGTTTTACTAGTAATTCTTAGAAATAATCAAAAAACTATAACTCGTAATTTCTGCCATGGTCAAGTTTTGCTAAATTTCTAAATTTTGATATTACTCCCACGAAAAAGTTAAAATAACTGAAGGATAGAGCAAAGGCGAAGCCTACGGAATAGGAAGCAACTGTTTCCTTTTTCACAGGTCGTCATATTTTTTGATAGCTAGTTGATTGAACTCCAAACTTTAGCAACAGACACAAACTCATTAACACGTTGAGGACA